CAACTCACAAGCCAATTAAGCCAAAAACAAGCCCAATTTCTGTGTTTTTTTCGTGGGTTTGGCATGTCGGGTTGCCACCATAGACAAAAGATCTGACTTCACCCCAGGAAGATACTAACATAATCCATTTGTAATAAATCACTATAGCTTAATTTCAGTGCTAAACTACCCTATCTCACAGCCTTTATCGCAGATGCAGGATGCAATGGCGTTTAATGGTCTAGATGAGAGAGATAAGATATCTCAGGCATATAGCTAGGATTGCTTGTCAGCTTGCTCTTAAATGAGTGTTTGTTGCTTATGGAAAGCACTGGTTGAAGTTTATCACTTACCTCAGAGTCTGCACACTTCATGATATTCATGCAAGACTTTCTGCACCACCATGCAGTAGGTGATATGGGGCACTGAGCTGCCATACGGGAGGTAAACATTTTATAGGAGAGGAAAGCTCAAGGTTCTATAGCACATCAGTGGCAGAGCCCACATAAAACTTCTGACTCCAAGTTCTGTGCTCTAACCACTAGACATGCTCCCTCTCCAAGCTTGGGACAGTTTTTCAGAACTGCTCAGCATGCATAATCAGGGCCAGATATTTCAGAAGAGCTTAGCTCTCATTTAAAGAACTAATTATGTGCCCAGTATTTTTTTTTTTAACTTCAGCATGTTGAGTGGTGTGATATTTTGAAAATCTGGCCATAGGTTTCACAGTGGGAGCTGCTGGACGCTGAGCCCTTTTGAAAATCTGGGGGTTTAAATGGGAGCTGAGCAGTTATGAAAATCTGACCCCAAAACAGGTGATTTCAATGGCTTTTGTTATTCAGGAGGTTATTTAGATCAGGGCCGGCTCCGGGGTTTTGGCCACCCCAAGCAGCCAAAAAAAAAAAAAACGCAGCGATCGCGATCTCCGGCGGCAATTTGGCTGGAGGTCCTTTGCTCCCAGCGGAAGTGAGGAACTGTCTGCCGAATTGCCACCGAATACTTGGACGTGCCGCCCCTCTCCAGAGCGGCCGCCCCAAGCACCTGCTTGCCAGGCTCGTGCCTGGAGCCGGCCCTGATTTAGATGATCATAAGTTGGCCTTTCTGGCCTTAAAAATCTATGAACAGTACTATATTTGCTCTGGAAGTTCTTCTGGTTTCAGAGTTGGTCAGCAAATGCACAGAAAGAATCTGTGTCTTTAAACTAAACGTAATGTAAAGAGAATCATATTTTATTTTCCTCTTGTCATGGAATTAAACCTCCTCAGTTCAATCAGCAATTGCGTCCTCCACAATCACCAGCAGGCATTTACTTAAGGAATAAAAAGGTGGAGGATTTTGGTAACATAGAAGAACCGCATCTAATCTCTGTACCTTTGGCTGGTTGTTACCCGTAGATACCATCAGTTCCTGATGTCTCGATCCTAATCAGCCTGGCTGCATAGACACTTGTGTTCTGTTTTTGAAACACAAGAGGGAGCCAAAAATTAGAGACACAACACATGTTCACTCACTAAAATTCCAGCATAGAAGGGGTGAGTTTCATGACAAACCTCAATTTTTATCTATATTGGAGGTGTTTTTTGAAGGTGGCATGACTATCACTCCAGTTTACTATTGTTTCCCATGAAACAGAGCCTTCTGTGTACTGTGGTTTGATATGGTAAAGTGCCCAGTGATGTAAAATCCAGGATGTTGGTCACAGAATTAAGAAAAACACCATATATATATATATATATATATATTTGCTATAGACCATAGATGAATAATAGCTCTTCTACCAATTGTATAGTTATAAATAGCTGCTGAAATTAAACTACAATCCTGCATGTGTAGTCACAAAAATACTGTAATTTTAAAATGCTGTTTGGTGGATTTAACTCAAGTTTTTAAATTAAGGTTTTAAAGTTTAATCAATTTAAACTTATACTTTACAACACAGTGCAGGAAAATTGAACAGTACTACATGTATCTAATTAATAATTCCAGGCTTTTGTGTATATAAGGTCATAAGACCATATATATTTTTCGTATGCACCATTCTTAGTCAGTATTTTCTACATAGTTTCTTGGTGGTAGATCTTCTTGGAGTTGATATACTGGTTCAGACTGTGAATTTAAAGTCCTCACAAATCCTTTTAGTTTAAATGTATGAAACAGAACAAATCAAAAGAACAGGAGTTACATTCAAAAGTTTGTCTTCCCTCAAATTCCATCACCTCTTATATTTCCTTTTTTAAATTAAATAACATGTTAGATGCTCAGTTAATTTTAATGGTTTTCAGAGAATGAAATAGATGTGTGAGAGAGAATACTGCTGTTTGCTGTTTGACATGAATGTGTGGGGGAAAGAAGGGATGTGTTATATTGAGGTAGTAGCAGGGGGTGGCACTCCTGGGCTCTGTTCTTGTCTGTGACCTTGGGTAAGTCATTTAACCTGTCTGTGCCTCAGTTTTCCCATATGTGAAATAGGTATTTTTATTATAGCCGTCTCACAAGGGTGTTGTGAACTCATTGTTCCAAAGGTGCTTTAACATTCTTGTTTGACAGGCACTAATATATTTATGATATTTTAAGTTATACACCTACACTGGCTTTAAAGGTAAAAAAATAATTTTGACATATGAGGTAAGTGCACATTTTGATTGACAGATTTTGGGTATTCTTTTAGTATTCTGTACTAAGAATAGTTTTATGAGTTTATAGATCTAGCTTAAAAATATATGTATATTTGTTTTCTTGAATACGCACAGAAGGAAGCCGAAGAACTAAAAGAGGATAGGATAGCCAATAAGAGATTAGAACAGCAAGTGCTGACCCTGAAATCCCAACTAAGGGACCAGACTGTATTACAAAGTCAGTTTCAAGACTTGCAAAACCAAGTGGAATGCCTTCAGGCTCAGCTGCGTGAAAAGGTATAATAAAGCTGGCTTTTACGTGCTTAACTGAGTGGACTAACATGGGCTTAGCTTGCTGATTCCACTTTATTCTTCTGACATGAAAGGACCAAAATATTCTTCTTTCTAAGGAATGGTTATAAGGGCAATAAAATGGTGTGTGCAGTGCAGACACATAAAGCATAGTAAAAGCAGCAACACTTTTAAGTGTAGACACGCCTTAATTGTTTTTGTGTGTCATCAAATTTTTGTTCAGTCCCACATATCTGAGAAATTCCTGTGGCAAGTTGATTAGTGTTAACAGTTTGCCCTAAATGGGGCATGATCAGTGATGTGTTGCCAAAATGTTAACAGCAAATCATGTGGCATTCACTGTGGAAAATCTCTTTCCCTCATCTTCCTCCCCCCCCTCCCTCCCTGTCCCTCGTGGAAGGGAGGCAGCCTCAGTGTGGAACCACCTAGGAGCTATTCCTCACAGCTGCAGCTGTGATGAAAAGCTGTAGCCTCTGCTTTCTGTTCTGGTGAGGGAAAGAACATGAAACATAAAATATTGTGTCAAACCCAGTGGATCATACTCTCAAAGCCAATCCAACTGCAAAAGTTACGCAGTATAAAAGTTATCTTCTAATTAGGTGTGCTCATTTCTGATGCATATGATTATAATGGCACTGCACATAAGAACATAAGAACGGCCATACTGGGTCATACCAAAGGCCCATCCAGCCCAGTATCCTGTCTACCAGCAGTGGCCAATGCCAGGTGTCCCAGAGGCAGTGAACCTAACAGGTAATGATCAAGTGATCTCTCTCCTGCCATCCATCTCCACCGTCTGACTAACAGAGGCTAGGGACATCATTCCTTACCCATCCTGGCTAATAGCCATTAATGGACTTAACCTCCATGAATTTATCTAGTTCTCTTTTAAACCCTGTTATAGTCCTAGCCTTCACAACCTCCTCAGGCAAGGAGTTCCACAGTTCCATAGCTCATCTTTTGAAAATCTTCTATGTTTGATGACTGGAGGCTCAGAGACAAGTTATTAATTATCATAACTTTTAGTTCCTTATCACCAGTATAGTCTGCAGCTACCTCACTGTTAAGTGCATAGACAAGTTCAGCTTCTGCTGTCTTTCTGCTGAGGGCAGGCAGAGTGCTGCAGACAATATAGTTCCTTCTTGGTAGGGTGTCCATATGTCCTGATTTTATAGGGACAGTTCCGATATTTGGGGCTTTGTCTTATGTAGGCACCTATTATCCCCCCACTCCCTGTCCTGATTCTTCACACTTGCTGTCTGATCACCCTACTTCTTGGAAAACCCAGCTTGGACAACAACTGCATCAAGGAAGTGTGAATTAACAACACAGTGGTCACATTAGAAAGTATACGTCTGCCCACAGTTACCACACAGTGCCATCTGAGATGCCACAGTTATTTCTTGTTCATAAGTGCAGGAGAATATGTTCAAATCAGAAACCACTGTGTGGTAACTCATTGCCTTTTGAATAATATTCACCATATAAAAACTTTAACTAAAAATATAATAAGCCAAAAGCCAACAGCTTAAATGAAAGGTGGTTTTGTTGTTCACTATTCTAAAAACAGAACTGATGACTGAACAACTAAAGGGAGCCATACTATACTTCTGATAAAGCCTGTGGATATGTCCTTTAGAATGGAATGTCCTTTAGAATGAAATCTCCTGATGCTTTGCTAGAGTTTTAGTTGATTTATTTGGGTTTTAGTTATGTTAGTTTAATTTATTTTTATTTTACTTTAATTTAAAAAAAAAAACACTTTTACACTTAACCCCCCCCCCAACATTAAATAACCAATATAAGCAAATAAACACAAATAAAGATGGGAGTGGCCATCGTTGGGAGGTCATGCTGGGTTCTAGGTGGGTTGCCTGGTTCACTCCAAGATAACAGGCTTTGTCAATAGATGATCCTGTTCAACAGCAGGAGTAGACAGAGTGGCAAAAGAATCCTGCTTAACAGCAGGAGGAGCAGACAGCTCCCAGGTCATCCTCCCAACTATCCATTTAGGGCAGCGTTTAGAGTTGTATCTCACAGCAATGGCAATGACCCCTTCAACACCTTGCAGAAGATCAGGTCCGGCTCTACCATTTTTGCTGCCTCAAGCAAAAAAAAAACCTGCCGAAGCAAAAATAAAAAAATAAAAAAATATAAAAAAATGCTTGGACTGTGCCACCAATGCCGCCCCTTAGCATGTGCCACCCCAGGCATGTGCTTCCTCCGCTGGTGCCTGGAGCCGGCCCTGCAGAAGATGCACCAGTGGCCCACCTTGCTGCTGCTGAAATTGTGGCCTACTTATTATTCTTTACTACTTGTCTACGCCCCTCTCTGACTCATGCCTGCAGGGTTTATCAACCTCACTATCAGTGCAACATGTCAAAGTTGAGCAACAGAATACAGGATGAAATAAAGGTCTTTGTACCAAAGTTAATTGCTCCACCTCACCATCTTGGCATTTCACTTCTTGCTTCAACATAAATGAAGTGTGTCCAGTGAAATGATCTCTCCCAGCCCCCCTTCTTTGCTCCCCCAATCATAATACAATTTTAAAAATTCTTTCTTTTCTGCTATATACTATATTCCTTCCCAAACCCACAAATAATAATGTAAAATGGCATCATGAGCCATGTTTGTTCTCATGCAATAATTATTTTATGTGTGTGTGTGCGCACACAATGTATGTCATAATTTCACTATATAAATACAAATCACCATTATCAGTCAAATAAAATGTGTACACATGAACATAAAGAAATCCATATTTTATTGTGTAATTCTAAGTTATTAATATGAAACTGATTTTATATGTTGAAAATGGTGGGTGTTTTTGTCCTAGAGATCTGAAAGCAGATTTCCTATAAGCAATAAACCTTGTTATCCTACACTATAAAGTATGCAATCTTGTACATATATCTTTGAAAGTTGTACCTTCACCAGCTCCAGTGAGTGCAGAGTATGGGGAGTTTTCTATATACACATTTGAAATCTGTCATCAAATGCTCATGGAGAAAATCCCTCCTGAGTTCCGGCATGTTACCACACATTATAAATGAGAAAAGGGGAAACTACTTTCTGGAGAAGTGGTATAGAAGATTCATAGGGTACATGAGGAGATGCACGCATAATGATGGATACCAGAATAAGGCTTTTAATGTTGTGCTGCTGTGATTAAGTAACCTGAGGTGGCCAGTGATAAAGGAGCTCCTTAAACTACCAAAACATTGTAAAGGGAATCTGAATAACTGAGTCCAAAATGTTTTTCATTCATTTAGACTGAGGAACTTCAGAAAAGAAAGACTGAAGCTGACCTGACAGTAGCTCCGCTCAAGGTAATGTATTTTGCTGAAACTGTTGCAGCATCTCTGATCTTTTTCATTGATTACGAAGCAAGCTTAATTTGGTTATTCTTAGTAACAGTATACTTAGCCACACTCTTTCTGTAGTGTGTGGTATGCCTGTTTCCAGAAGACCCTCCTGAATGTTAGCCATTTGACTTTAATTGGACTGCAGGCCCGGGGTTAGGAGGGGAAGCTGGTATCATTGCTACTATTGCTGTTCACCTTGCCACCAGAGGGAACTAGTACGTAGAGGACTGAACTATCCATTACTAGTTATCTGCATGTGTTTGTTGCGGTTGTTATGCTGGAGAGCTTGATGGCTCAGAAATATAGGAATATGAGCAATGTCTTAAACCCTGATGTCAAAATCTGCTTAGTCAGATTAGACAAAAAATATAAACACACTGGGGAACTGAAGTCTATTTATCTGTTGTTATGCTACATAGGCTAAGCTGGCTTGCCTTGTCCGGAAATGCCATGAAAGAAACAGCTTGATTACCCAGCTGGTCAGGGAATTTCACAGGCATGGAATTATGGATTCCATTTTCAGTGAAGAGGCAAAGAATTTGGTGAATGACATGGCGCTTGCAGAGTACACTACCTCCTTTACATCTGTACGCCATCAAGAGGTAAATGCATAAAATTTCCAATCATACCAGTCAATACCTGCACTCTGTATAAAATGTATGTAGCCAGATGGTGAAATGTGTATTCTTAAATGTTACTGACTTTTATTAAACCAATGGTGGGGGGCCCAAAGTATCATTTATCAGAAAATAAATGGGGCCAGATTCCTACTTGTGGTAAATCAGTGGAGCTATGCCAATTTACCCCTGCTGTAGACTGGGCTGTCGTCTCTGGAGGAGGTCACATGGTACGTCTGCCACCCATAAGACAGTGAGATGAAGACATAGTAGACATAATATGCCCAAATTCTCTAAAATGTCTTCTTCACCCATCTCCAAATATAGAAATCGAGAGAGAAAGAGATTTCTTTTCTATTTTGTGATAAGAAGTGAGGCATCACTGTAAACTTGTGATGGGATACACCTAGTGCTAGGCTAGGTGAAGACTACCCCCAAAAAAGTACATAACTGCTGATGTTGAAAACTGTTGTTAATAGAGTGGAGAATTACCCAGCCTGTCTCTATTCTTCTCGTCCTCCTTTGCTCTTCTTTTCCCACGCCCTCCTCAGCCTGAACGTAGTATGCCTCCAGTAGCTCCCCTCAATTTATCTCTGGATTTATTGCACCAAATCCTTGGTGAGTGGCAGTGGGTCTGAGGTCAAATTTGTAGGTTACTCCCTTTACTGAAGCAGTGACCGCATGAGTGCTGAAGATCACGTTTGAAAGTGTGGCTGCCAAACTGTTTACATGCTACCACTCCTGCTTTTGAGTGCCCTAGTGGAATGAGCACTCTGTGTTCCAGAGCACTGGAGCAGCTGTCCTCCGTTAAATAATAATAATAATTAATAAAATCTAGCACTTACATAGTGCTTTTAATCAGTAGATCTCAAAGGGCTTCACAATCTTTAATGGATTCACCCTCCTTCCACACCTCTTGAAATCCTTCCTTTGAAGAGCATGGAACATAGGGCTGGGCTGAAGGTAAATTTATTTCACTCTGATTTCTTGTTCTCATTTCTTTTAATGCTCCATTGACCCTAGTGTCCAACCTACCCTTTATTGGGTCTTGGCTGGCGGCCATCTAAGAAAATATCGGGAGACATTGGGGGGGGCGCCGGCGGAGCAAAAAAAAAAAGCCAAGTGCTGCCAGCGGAGCGAAATATCAGGACAAATTGTGTCCTGACCAAAGATCAGTCGGGACGTAGGACAAACACCTAAATATCAGGAAGTCTGGTCCCCCTACGGCCATCCTCAAATCTCCTGTGCTCTGGTGCTTCCGCCTTGTCAAATATACACATTTTGAGGCTGATTCACCATTGTGTTCCTCCAGTTTTATGCTGGCTGCAACACAATAGAGAAAGGGATGGAAAAGTAACAGCTCAGCATTCAGTGTTTATTCTACCTCTGTTATGACAGTGGCACTTCTTAACAAATCCAGCCAGCTTTTGCTCAGAAACTGATCCAGGACTGCTGGGGATAGGGAAGAAATCTCCAAATGGAGATACTGTAACTCTGGCTTCATGCCCGGGGGATTGCCCTGGCCAGTAATACACTGACTGCCAAAGAGATTATGACTTCAAATTCTGTCTGGCAAAGGAGAAGCAGAGAGTGAAGGTGAAGAGAATGATGGAGACAATACTGTGTGAAGCTGAATTTCAACTACATTGTAAGCAACTGAAGCACTTAACTATCTGGGGTCTGCGTGCAAGGTTCCTAAGAAGCTGTTCCTGAAGAACTGGACCAAACAAGACATCTTGGAGCTGGCATGCTTGTCTTCCAGCGCAATTTTTAATTTTGGATTTCAATTTCTTTTATCCTCAGAACTGGGTAATGCAGTTCTATGCAGAATGGTTGTAGCTGTGTTGATCCCAGGATATTAGAGAGACAAGATGAGTCAGGTCTGACAAAGAGCTCTGTGTGGCTCGATAGCTTGTTTCCCTCACTAACAGAAGTTGGTCCAATAAAAAGATATTACCTCCCCCACCTTGTCTCTCAAATACTTTTGGTAAGTGCAAGGGTTCATAACATTAGGTAGCCTCATACAGAAGCCTACTATATGGCTGGAGGAATAAAGACATTTGGGTTCGAGAGCGTTTTGTAAAACTGGGGTGCTTACCCTGTGGATAATATTAATAAAAATTAATCAAGAAAGATATATGGTGCCCTATTTTTTTTCTCCAAAGCCTCCCAGCATTATACTGAGGGTAGCATTGCAGGACTGGTTCCTAGAAACAGTTCATTCATTTTTCAGTTATGAACTGCTAGTTTATTTACCAGCAGAAACAGAGATGGTTCAGCATGGATATATACCAGGTTAGTGCAGATATGCCTGCTTGCAATCAAAACTTAATTACATTTTTAAAGTATTTATTATTAAATGGCCTTTCTGCTAGGAGTGTCCATTAAGAGATTGACCGAGGAAAGGTTTTTTCTCAGTACTGTACTTCATTTGTTTGGCAGACAAATTGCACCAAGAAACTCAAGAGCAGAAGCGACACATGTATGCAATAAGAACAACTTGTTTCATGCTTTTAAAGCACTTTCTTAGCTCCCGCTGTGCTCAGACATATATAAACAACATGAAGATGTTTGGGGTTTTGGAATGTAATACCATTCAGGGAAAGGCAACACAATGACTTATGGCAAAGTATGACCATAAGGTTATGTTGATGTTTCTTTTCTGCATGTTTCACTGTATTTCATATGGCACTGAAGAGGTTTGTTTGTTCTTCTAATCCATTACATTTTAAGAGCTGCCAGAAATAATACTTGCTTCTGTATCTTGTTAAAAGAGTGAGTTAATTGTATGTTACTTGTACATTGGGGTCTTGATAAGACTCAAAACTGTGTTCAGTTTAACTACTACAATTAGGAAAGTGATTTAAGATTGTCATTTGGTTCCATAATCTTTTGGAGTTTTCACTTTCCCTTACTCCCCAAAACCAATCAGGTTTATAGTTCAGCTTCTCTCTCTCTCTCTCTCTGTGTGTATGTGTGTGTGTGTGTACTGTAATTTGTATGCAAAAACTTGAACAGAGTTATAATTGGTAAACTTTGTTCTTTTAATCTATTGTCACAAAAATCTTATAACTAGAAAGAGATTAATCACTAATTTACATGACAGGTGGAGTGATTACATTCTATCCTGGAAAATATTTATTCTCAAAGTTAATGTGAGATGGAAGAGTGCTGTTGTACTTGAAGAATTAGTCTGGGCTCTGTTCCTGGTTCTACCTTATGCTTTGAGTCTGACTTTGGACAAGTCACTTATTCTCTGTCTACCGCTGTTTCTCATCTAAAAAGGAGGTAACATTTCACTGCTCCCAGTAGCTGTTGAGGAGACAAATTAATTAATATTTGTGAGGTGATCAGCTGTTGCTGTGGATGAGTGCCATGGAAAAGCCAATCAATTATATTAAAAAATACAGTGCTGAAACTCATGTTTACCCAGTTATGTGTTCAGACCTGTTCAATAAATATAGGTACCAGCATAAAAATAATGGATTGAGTTTTGTAATTAGCCTTGCTGTCAGCAGGATCAGGCTCAATAAATTATATATATCCTGTGATAGACTATACATGTTCATGCCACTTAACAGACAAATAAAAGACAGGATGTCTGCCCCAAAGGGCTTCCAGTCTGTAGCAATGGAACTCTGTACAGGTGCAGATGGTCCAATTTAGTAGATTACAAAGCAAGATTGGAGCCTAAATTAATTTATAATTTAACAAATAATGATTGCAGTGACTGAAGAGACAGAGAGCGTTCATTCATATCCATGTGATACATTTTTGATTTTCATAATCAATAATGCAGTCCTATAGTATATTGAATTTATTTTGCATCTTTGACCATTTCACTGACATTTTGTCACTACTGTTCTCAGCAAAAACTACTTCTAACATTCCAAAGCTACGACCAGCTTTCAAACTGCCACTAAACAATCAATCAGAAAGGAATCTAACCCAAACATTTCCTCCTTTCCCCATAAATCATCCCCAACATTTCAAAGGGTGCTATAGAAAACCCCCACATAAACAGAGTTCCCCCTCCTAAGATTCCTGATAGAGAATTGATTTTACTCATTTCTGGACCAGAGATAAATTTAAGGTCTGATATCTTGAAACTCATCAGGCCTCAACACACCTAGTTTATCCTATTGGGGAGCTGGAATTCAAGGTTTTGCAATGATATAAGGGCTGATCCTAAACCCATTGAAGTCTAAGGCCCACAAACAATTTGTATCTAGTCTTTGTGGTTCAGGAGACTTTAAAATTATAACTGTGTGGTTCATAGAAAAGCTATTTTAGATCCCCTTTTAAGGTGCTAGTTTTGATTCTCCACTTCATTTGAGTTAGTACAGTTCCCAATGCAGCAAGAGGCTTATGCACATCACTAGGGCTACTCACCTGGTTAAAGTTAACCATGTGCTTAAGTGTTGTGCTGAATCAAGGCCCAGCTGGCTGGTGACCATTGCATTCCATAGAGTATGAATTTATTAAGACTACTTGACCAAAAATGTTTTCTTTGCAATAAAAACCCTTTCAACTAAATTATATTTGAAAAATTGTTAACAATATTAAGGCTATATGATATATATGATATAAAATGAACAACCTGGAAGATGTAACTTTGAGTTCATAGTGCTGGCTAGATCCTCAACTGGTATAAATCAGCATTCTCCAGTGACTTCAAAGGTGTTATGCTGATTCACACCAGCCAAAGATCTAACTTGAATTAAGCACAGGGTAGCAGTCATCACTCTGAATTTCCTGGATTGGTTAGTTTTACAGCCCAACATTATATATTTAAACTGGTTTTCAGTGATACATCAAATTCAGTTGACTAATGAGGTTGTGTTTTCCTAAGTTAACCTTCAGTATCCTTGTTTAAATACCAGGCTTTCCACTAATGCCAGGATACAAATTGATCTAATAAGCTTAAGGGAAGCAACACCTCTGGGAGCATGATCTAAGTCCAATAAGATGGGCAGCTTCAGTTTAAATTGTGCTGGAAGGTTTTCCTCACTTCTAAACAATGCACCATGTGCAGTATTGTTTGTTATCATTAATTTACTTGCTTAGAAGCCACAACTAAACTGTAAGATTAATTTCAGCTATTGATCATCCCCAGAATGTATTTCAGTGTGGCCAAAAATAAAGGCCTGTACATGAGATCTTGCATCACTTCTATAAGTTGTGCTAGAGGCGCATATGTTGTTTGGGGCACTTTTAATGTTCATTTGTGTCTAATATAAACAGGAAGAGCTGGGCACGTGGAGAAATAACTGTAGTTTATTTCTAAACATGGTCTCATTGTGAATTCTTCCAAAAGACCTAACTCCTGAAGACCTCCTTATAGTAATGGTAATTGTGATGGAGTGGGAGTTTTTCATAATATTTTGTATGAATACTGTGTGTGCCTCAGTTTCCCCTATGAACTGCCTGGTTAACTATGTGAGGGGGAAAAGTTGTTTGCAGCGATTCAGGTGTGATTAGAAGAACAGGAGTACTTGTGGCACCTTAGAGACTAACACATTTATTAGAGCATAAGCTTTCGTGGACTACAGCCCACTTCTTCGGATGCTGTAGTCCACAAAAGCTTATGC